GATATCTCTCGGTTACTTTCCCGACATTACCAAATGTGGGAAAAAAATCTTCCATTTTCCATCCCTTGTGAAATGACATGAGAAATTATTTCCCCTTTAATTCGTTCCGTGAACCAAACTAGAGTTAGCGGGAAGTCGGGCACTCAGAATTAAGGAATGCTGAAGAAGCTGCAGCTGCAGCAGGTACACATTCGGAGGGTGGTTGCCAAGTAAATGGTTATGAGGTTGGATCTGATGTTGTAGAATAGTCTCCTAAACCTATAAGTGCTAGCTTAACAGAGGCACAGGAGTTGGAGAAGCATATCACCATTAGAGAAGAGATGTATAAGAAAGCTAAAGAGTTCGATTATAAGATCATTAGTTTTGAAACAGCTATTAGGAGGCCGCACTTTCATGTGCGGCAACTCAATGTTGCAGAGCTTGAAAATTGGAACAACGGCCCAGACTTTATTTTTAAATTTTTAAGGAAACACGTTCAGTTTCTTTCTCTAACTCCACGAGTTAGGACATATTGTAAATAGCTCCTATTCAGTTCCGCTTATCTAAAGACCTAAAATTGAAGGACCAAATTAATCTCAGCCACAAGATGAATTTATCAAAGGATTTTCAGAAGTTTTACCCCCTGAACTATCACGCTAATCGAACTTAACTCCTTGAATTATTTTATCTGTCGATTTAGTCCTCAAACAAATTATAAATATCCAATTTCATCCTTACCGTTAAATTTTTTGAATTCCATCCAATTTTCTATCAAAACCTCACATGCTTGGCACATGGCCAAATTTTTTTTTAAAATTTTAAAATTACAAATTAGCCGTATCTAATTGTATTATTGTAATTTTGAGGAATTGACTTTTAATGAATTTATCAAAATATGGATCAATGGTATAGTCACAATACTAATGTGTGTGAGTTCTTTTAAATTTTAATTGTATTATTGTAAAATTACATTGTATGTTTAATCTATATATATATATATATATATATATATATACAAAGCAAAAGACAGAGAATGGTAAAACATTCAAAATACCAGAAAATGTCATCGGTTAATGCAAACATTAAGAATTGAAATTATTTTAACCAGATTAAGAATTGAAATTATTAATTAAACGAGTATAATACGGTAAATTCACATTTTGTTCATATTAAAAAAAATTAAAAGAAAAATCAGATAATGGATCATATTTTTATAAACCTTATATTCTATGAGAGGTTCTACGCCGTGGAAACACTCTTTAATGGAACTCTAGCTTTAGCCGGTCATGACCAAGAAACCACTGGTTTCGCTTGGTGGGCCGAGAATGCCCGATTTGAACACAACTATTCATTATCTTTTTTAATTTAAAAATAAATAAAAACTAAAAATAAAAATAAAAATAAAAAGTCTCTCGCAGGAGCGGAAGCGCATGACGAAAGGCTAGTTTAAATTAGATAAAATTGGCAGGCATTGCCTTTGATTGTATTGCTAATGTCCTTGGCCATTCATTTATTTAGAGGGTTTAAACTTTCCATACTTCAAATTCAAATTGCACTCTTGCCGACATGGGATATCTATCCGCATTCATATTTAATTGCTTATTTATTCGTTTGTGCTTGTTGTGTGTAATTTTATGCTTGCATATGAGTTTTGGTGTTTTTTTGGATCGTTTAGTCGGAGAGAAATGGTGGAATCTTTTAATGCAATGGATTTCTTGTGGGACATGGTCAGTTACTAGGCAGACATTGCCTTTGACTGTATTGCTATTGCCCTTGGCTTTATTTGGAGGGTTTAATCTTTCCATACTTAAAAATTGCACTCTTGCCAACATGGGATCTCTATCTGCCTTCGTATTTAAAAATTGCACTATTATTTATTTAATAAATTAATTTCCAAAATACAGTTTGGATTAACACATGACCAACAATATATGTTATATTGAGCTTCCCTTGACTTTTTTGGGCCTTAACAATCCCTAAATCTGATTCTCCACCACGATGGCGGTTGTTTGGAATGGCCACTATTCAAATAAGTTCAAGCCAAGTCTAGAGAAAAAGTGGATGGGCTAATCCATTACATAAATCATCTCGTCAATAACCAATTGAATAATTATTGTTGAAAGTCATATAATTATAATCATTATTGTTAAAAGGCATATAAGCATGAATAATTATTGTTGTGATTAAGGATAACAATTTATAATAGGACCGGATAAACAACTGAGAACGATTATTTGGGCTACTGTCGGTAACATTGTTGATGATGTGAGAGACTTGCTCGTGCAGTTTTCTTTAAAGGAAGTCCAATTTCGACCTAGGGAGTGTCACAAGGTGGCTTGTGCTATTGCCCGTTTTGCTCTACATGAACAAGGTCTTTATTATTGGTTAGAAGAAGGCTATGTATGGCTAATGAATTGTATTCTTGATGACCTTATTGTAACCGATGCTTACGGTTAAAGAAATATACTTCTTTTCGATAAATAAATAAAAAAGAGAAATTATAGTATGTACTAATTTTAATTTAAAAAATATGGTTTTATTCACAATGGCAATGGCCCTTTATCTTTTTTCAACATTTGGACGAAACTCATATCTTTCTGTATCGACAAAATTTGGACGGGCCTGATCAAAGCCCAGGGATCATTATCTCTACGGGCCACATCTAACACCACGTCATTAAAAAGAAACAAATAAATAATAAAGAAAAATAAAATAAAAAGAGAACACGCCCTCACGTCACCAGCCTTACCACGCACCGCTTCAAGTTTCCGCTCTTCTCTCTCCATTTGGCTTTGTCGTTGTTATCACCAAATTTTAGGTGCCGTTTGGGGTTGTGTTTAAATTCAAAGGGATTCAAAATCTCCATCTTCCTCGAAGCTCAGCTGAACTCTATTGAAAACGACGCTGTCTCTGGCCTCAGGTCAGGTACCTCCTCTGCGAATTCCATTCACCGCCGAGGCGCCCAGACCCACCTAAATCCCTTCTGGTATGCCGCTCGACAACCATTCACCATATGATATGATCTGTTTGCTATTTTGTTCCTCCTTGAAATGGGGAACACATGTGAGAACGGGTTTCAAAACTAGTTACTTTATTTTATTTTATTTTATTATTTTGTGTTGGGTTTTGCAATTACTTACTCGTGGGTTAGGAATTCTTTTCCCCCGTTCAAGAAACAATCTATACTCTCACTGTCATTGCTCTCGGGTTCGGGTTCCATCGAGCCGAAAATGACTACAAGGTTGTGAGGGTGACGAGGTTTAGACGCAAACGCAAAGGCAAAAAAAGTAGGTTTGAGGTTGAGGTTTACAGCCTTAGACTGAATGCTTGGAGAAGTATTAGCGCAGTTCCTCCCGTTTCATATGATGTCCATGTTTCGCGACGCAGATGTGCACTCTTGAATGGTGTTGTGTACTGGATGAAAATGGAGCCTAGTTCCTCCACTTTCATTCTTTCTTTTGATTTTGGCAGTGAGGAGTTTAAAAGGATTATGCTACCTCATCAAGTAGTACTACCCACACCGGTTTTCGAACAAACTCCTCCGATTATTCGAGTGTCGGAGAAAACACTTTCCTTCTTCCATCGAATTCTACGACAAGATGATGATGAGCAACTGGGTTGTTTTTGTGAGGTATGGGTTCTTGAAATGGATGATACTTGGAAAAATACCTGCACGATTCTTCTCCCCAAAATGGGACATATAGCATGCCCACTGCCACTAGGGTTCACAACAAATGGCAGGTTTCTTATGGCTAGGCCGGGGGGGATGTACACACAGGGAAGTTAAAGTGGTTTTATATGATCCTGAGTCGCACCAAGCCACCGATACCGGAATCAAAATGATAGATTCTTATGAGTGTGCCGATACTTACAGTGAGAGTTTACTTTTACTCAACTGATCGATCATGAGTTGTATCTATCTATGTTTCCAAGATCCATTTTATTTTATAATAATTAGGCAGTAGGTGGCTATACCTATACGTGCCTTTGATCGACTATCTGTATATGCATTCAACACTTGTGTCCAAAATTGTGGTTGATCATATAAATATTTATTTGAGTGTAATTATGATGCATTTTTGGCTGAGTTTCCTTTGTGTTATGGTTATTGGAAAAAGTATGCAGATAGCTATGTATGACCGTAGTGAATGTATGCTCCATTCATGCGTGTCACCTTAATAATTTGTGGTTTTTGTAACAGTATACAAAATGCACTACAATTGTGTATGTGGTTTTACAGGGCTTAATTTTGGATCTGATGTCGCAGAACAGTCTCCTAAACCTACAAGTGCTGGCTTAACAGACGCAAAGAGTTGGAGAAGTATATAACCATTAGAGACGATGTATAAGAAAGCTGAAGAGTTTGATTATAAGATCATTAGTTTTGAAACAGCTATTAGGAGGCCGTACTTTCATGAAGGTGCTTCCTAAAAACAAATAAAAATAAAAACTGCACTTAATGAAAGATAACAGAATGTCTATAAATTGTAAAGTTCGGGAAACAAAATGACCAGTGACCAAATTGAATTTTTATGTAAAACCCAGCGACGAAAAAAGTATTTAACCCAAAAATTAGTATGCAATTAATACAAATATTGGGTGAATATATGTTTGGATTTAAATCTTCCCCCTATTTTGGCAATCTTTGAAAGAAAAAAAAATTATTGATAACTTTTTTTGTTAAGAGGGACGATAACATACTAACTCACACACACATTATACGGATATTATGACTCAAACTCTGGGCCTGAGAACAATTACTCCAAACCATTACCCTGAATTTTTTTTTTTATTAATATAAGTAATAGCCTAAATTATTGTAGATTAAACTATTCAAGGATCATACCGTATATGCAATTAGTATAAAGTTCGCTCATGAAAAATAAAGTGTAATTAAAGTATGACGTGGCACAAGCCAGGCAATACATTTCCTTAGAATGTTTGTAATTTTGTAACGCTGGTGGACGATGATTGCATGTTGTCCACTCAGCAGAATCCAAAAGAAAAGACAGACATTTTCTGCTCGCCTCCAACTCAAATCTCCCACTTCTCATTCGTTTTTATTCCTTTCGGATATTCAAATTCAACCAAAGAAAACAAATAGAAGCAGTCCAACTTGAACTGAAATACAAGAATAACAGTCCATCAGCTACTTCTTGGTTTCCTTTCAAAGCCAACAACCCTCTTCACCTCCCTCATTTCTCTGCAACAATCTTCTTTGAGAAAGAAAGAAAAAGAAAACAGAACAGAGCATCAATCAGCAGAAGATGTAAGTCTCCCAATCTTTTTATCCCTTTTCTTTGGTGGATATATAACTTTGCTGCATACCAATTTGAAAGCTTCTTCCTTTTTACACATATGGATATGCAGGGAGAGTGGGCTGAAGCCAATGGATGCTGAGCAGCTCAGAGAGAACGCCCACAAGATGGTAGATTTCATTGCTGATTACTACAAAACCATAGAGAATTTTCCTGTTCTCAGCCAAGTGCAGGTTTCAACTCTCAATTCCATCTCTCTAATATCAATTCTGATTTAATTTCCAATTGCCATTAGCATAACGCCATTCAATTTTGCAGCCGGGATATCTCCGGGAACTTTTACCGGATTCTGCACCTACCCATCCCGAGCCTTTGCAACATATTTTTGATGGTATAGTTTCAATTGGGTTCCCCATGTTCTGGATTTCACTGCATACTTATTGCAAATGTGGCGTTTAGGATTGAAGTTTTTGGCCTGATTATGTAGAATAGATAACTTTTGTAAATTCTCTAAAATGCTGTCTTATACATGATAAATGTAATTTGTGTGGCAGAAACATGTGTGAAGAACAAAACTTTTATGTGATTGCAGACATTCATGCTAAGATATTACCAGGGGTTACCCATTGGCAGAGCCCAAATTTCTTTGGGTACTACCCTTCCAACAGCAGCATTGCTGGATTTTTAGGTGAAATGATGAGCGCAGGCTTAAACATTGTTGGGTTCAGCTGGATAACTTCTCCTGCTGCAACTGAACTTGAAATGATCGTATTGGATTGGTTTGGTAAAATGCTTAAACTACCTGAAGAATTTCTTTCAGCAGGTGAGATGATCGATTTTTACACAATATATTTTTTAATGAAATTCCAAGTGAACATTTTTTCTTTTGTTTTTCTCTACCAAAAGTTGAAGAAACTTGTGTTGTGTTACAGCGGTGGAAACCTTATTGAGCTTCTTGACTTATGATTGAACATCTTGTTGCAGGAAAAGGTGGTGGAGTGATACAAGGCACAGCAAGTGAAGCTGTTCTTGTTGTTCTGTTGGCAGCTCGTGACAAGATTTTGAGGAGAGTAGGAAAAAATTCCCTTGAGAAGCTTGTTGTCTATGCATCTGATCAAACACATTCAGCTTTGCAAAAAGCTTGTCAGGTATCTTCCTAGTGTGCTCTACTATTCTTTCTTTTCCCATCTTTTTTTCCTATGGTTTTTCAGCAGTCTAGTCTTGCTTGCTAATCATAATGCCTTTCATTTTTCATAAGACTTATTGTTTAATGGCAGATAGGGGGAATCCATCCCGAGAATTGCAGGCTGCTGAGGACTGATTCTTCTACTGATTATGCCCTTTCTCCCAATGTACTTAATGAAGCGATTTCAAACGACGTCACCAGTGGTTTAATTCCATTTTTCCTATGTGCGACAGTGAGAAACTGAAAAACCTTTGATGCTAACTTGTGTCCTTTTTGTTAATCATATTGATTCTACCTTGTTATTTGACCACAATGAAATGTTCACTAATGTTGTGAGACGACCAAAGAGGTCTTTAAATTTAATTAGTTTCTGAAGGGCATAAGAATGGTAACTTGAATGCAACTAAATATGAAATGTATGGAATCAATTTTGTTTTAAACAAAGCAAATAATTTAACTATTGAACACTTTCACACACAACCCATTACAAGTCAAACCCATCACCACTCCTTTGATACCACAGTGGTACAAGGGTTGGTGCATGTGTTGATAATGGAATACGGTTTACCATAAACTCATAATAATATTTTGAAAAAAATTTCATGGTTTTATATGTTGTTATTAGAATTCTGGTTAACTAAAGAACCTTTGCATTTGTACTTTCAGGTCGGTACTACTTCATCAACGGCTGTTGACCCTTTGCCAGATCTGGGAAAGATTGCAAAGGTAACAGTTTAATTGTAAAATTTGCTTTAGACCATTAAAAATGGCTGCATTCTTCATGGTTCTTCATTGCCAGTAAATTTTAAGAAAAACCCTTTTAGATTGTGTAAATTTGACTTTTGAAAAATAATTTTTTAAGTTTTTATTGACTTCCTGCTTAGAATATGAGATTCCATATACCTTTTCTATTGTCAAGGCAATTTTTTTTTAAGGATGTTTGGAAACAAGATCTAATCAGTGACCTTAAAGACTTACCTAGTTTAACCATAATGGTAATGCTTTGCATTTTCCCAGAGCAATGACATGTGGTTCCATGTGGATGCTGCATATGCTGGTAGTGCTTGTATATGTCCAGAGTACCGCCATTACATTGATGGTGTTGAAGAGGCAGACTCATTTAACACAAATGCACATAAATGGTTTCTCACGAACTTTGACTGTTCTGTGCTCTGGATCAAGGTATGTCATGGTGTAGCTGTGCACATTGTTTGTATGCTTATTATTTTTTGGTTCCTCCCAGTTTTTCCCACTGTTGCTCTCACTAAGAATTACATGCACCTTTACATCAAAGATTCATGCACACCATTATCACCCTTGTCTTCATTATATGAAACTTAAGAACTGACTCAAACACTTTTACATGAATTTTACTTCTCTGTAGTCAACTTCTAAGGGAAGCATTTTGATTTTCCTTTTGCATATGACCTTGTCAAATGAATAGGATGCAAGACTCACTGTGGCTTGCTATGGTAGTCCTCTTCACTAGTGTTTTGATACTTCATTCTTTCCCTTTTGTTGTTCTTGTGGCAAGAAACACCTGATTTGTTGGTTGTCTTATGGCCCCAGTGGCTATAAATCGTGCTAATGCCAATAACCTTGTTTTCCATAAAAGAATAATAATCATGTGAATGATATGTCTTCACTATATTCTAATAATCCTTCAGGAAATTAGTATGATCCACCCGATTAAGACTGTTTTCCGCTATATGATCAAATATCAGTTTTGTGTAACACATTTTGTTCTCATTTCCCAGTTCTTGTTATTTATTAATACAGTTGTTGATGCGTGTATCTGCCGATACTTGTTTCATGATAACAGGATAGAAATGCTTTGATCCAGGCTCTGTCTACAAATCCTGAGTTCCTGAAAAACAAGGTAAATGTGTTCCTCTATTATTCTTTTTACTATTAGGTGCCAACAAACTAATTTGGGCGGATGAATTCTTTAACTGTGACAGTTGATGCCCAGCCAACCAAAAAATACTGCAACAGGTGTGCATCTTTACTGATAATGTTGTTGTTACTACAGGCCTCTCAAGCAAACCTGGTTGTGGATTACAAAGATTGGCAAATCCCACTTGGACGTCGGTTTAGGTGTGCCTTTGAACATTTTGCAGCCAAATAAAACTTTTTTGGTTTGTCTTAGTACACTACGATTTAAAGTACTCTTTTTCTTTGAGAAGGCAGGTTTATTAACTAATGTGTTTTAACTGAGCTTGAATGTTGAGAATACTTCATATTATGGAGAAAGAAGAATGTTTCACTGCACATTATACCACATTTATGCCCTTTCAGATAGTTATCATGCTTTATAATCTTAATCATTGACTGCTGCTTCTAGATCATTAAAGCTATGGATGGTGCTGAGACTTTATGGTCTGGAAAACCTACAATCATATATAAGAAACCATATTAATTTAGCTAAACACTTCGAAGAGCTCGTTGCTCAAGACCCCAGATTTGAGGTAATGGTCTTCTTCATGAAGTGTCTTTTTTCACTGCTATCTTTTGTTACAAGTTGAATGCTATGGTATGAAAATTTCATGCAAACCTAATCGTGGTGTTGATAATTCACTACAACTCGCAGATTGTTACTCCACGGCTATTTTCATTAGTTTGTTTCCGTCTTCTGCCCCCTCATAACGACGAAACATGTGCTACTAAACTGAATCATGGCCTATTAGATGCTGTGAACTCAACCGGGAAGATTTTTGTTTCTCACACAGTAAGCTCACTGTTTACTTTATATTGTCACACACATTGACGCTGTTTTTCGTGTCCTGGTTTTAAAAGATTATGTAAATTCAGTGTTGCTGATGACTACCAACATATTATACAATACAGGTCCTGTCAGGGAAATACTTGTTACGTCTTGCAGTAGGAGCTCCATTGACCGAGGAGAGGCATGTGAATGCAGCATGGAAGCTTTTGCAAGATGAGGCTTCTGCCCTGCTTGCAACTCTTTAGTATTTAGGATGAATTATATCTCTCTAAATTCAATTCATTAACAAAAGCCAAATACTGCCCTTGGATACCATCTGAATGCTTAAAAAGATTTTCTTATTTATACAAACAAGAAGAAATTCTTGTAAAGCACAATAATATGTTGAATCCTTCGGAGAAGTGACATACATTTTTCAGGTACTTTTTAAAAAATAATAATAATATGCACAATATTTCTACATACGTATTTGCTAGAATACTTCAATATATATGCATTTATAGAAACCTGATATGAGAGGCAGCTACATATGTTTGTTCCCTTGATAAATTATATGAGGCCAAAGTTCAAAAGTTCAATTTATGCATTACTTGTAAGACTTGAGGCAGAAGTTGATCAAAGATGATGCATTTTACAAACACAATGCATCATCTTATCTTATTTGACTTATCAGGTGGAGATCTTGTGCCAGGCCAATTAAATTTTTATATATATATTTCTGGGTAGATAGATTCTCATGCAAAGTATAAACTCAGGTTCTTATTTCTGCACCACCCAAAATGGCACAAAGAGAATTCAAATTTACCTTTGGCATACTGCTTAGCATATGCACTGATTTAAAACAGAGAATAAATTCCTCAACTTGCCTTATCTCGGATCTTATGGACCGATTTTACGGAGACAAAGATGAGAAAATTCTCAGTAAAACATAATCTTGTGGAGCATAAAGTTCGATTGCAATATGATCTATAAGCAAGTGGAGGGACATAAGAAAATTTCAAGCTTAATACTGAATATTGGTCACTGGTCAAATGAGATGCTTGTGCTTCTGTGATCACAAAGTGTGACAGATACTAAAAGCAACTCTTGGCTCTGCTTCAAATCTATTTGGTATGAGCCAAGGGAACATGTTCCAAACTCCAAACTGGTCATTTTCAGTGATTGATAAAAATGTCTCTTTGGAATGTCCTCAACTTCTAAGGGATAAGGCATAAAGTTGGTTTTTTGGGGGGAGATAGGAATTGTAGGATGGTGATGCTTCTTTCTATTCTTCAAGAATATCCAATTTGAGAAGCATCATCTGGAAATATTCCATATCTGAAGTTGGTAATGGAAGTGTGAGATTGACTACAAAGATCTCCTTTTGGAATGTCCTCCCAACTTCTTAGGGCTAAAGGCACTTTTTTTTTTGTCTTTGGAATATTTTTTGGCCAAACTCTTCATCAAGAATATTCAGTCTAAATCTTATATATTCGTAGTTAATTACCTTTATATCCCTATACCTAAAGTGTGGCCCAATATTATAGAATCTGCAAATGTGCTTGAATTGACTTCGAAAATATCATTGGTCGGAAAGGTTTGAACAAACTTGCATCCTATTTTCAGCTATACCAAGTAGAAAATTCTTTCAATGTATCATTAATTGATTCATTAATTGGTTGTCCACCTTAAAAGCTCTGGTAATATCCCAATTCTCAACCTTCAAAGATTTTTCTTTGAATAGGATACTTTATAGCTTTTTTGCCTCGTTTTTTTCGAAGACATAGCCCGATTATTTTGTACTTGTTTTCACTCCTCATCAATAAAAATTATATCACCTTTGTGTCAAAAAAAAGCCTTTTTTTGCCTTGGTTAATTATCGAATTCCAAAATAAAGTGGAAATTGACATTGTTTTGGTTGAAGGAGCATGTATGGAATATCTGTTTTTTTTCTGGCCGACACACTTTCTAACACAAAACATTTGTTTAAAATGCTTTTGCCACACATACATGACATGGGAAGAATCTGATTTCTTTTATTTTTTTCTTTTAAAAACCCAACGGGAATATAAAATATGTTAGCACTTATATGGCTCGACGAAAATCATGGATCGCAGACAATGCACAATTTTCCTTTAAGCCATCAGATTCAATACATTGTTTTGTCATAAAAAAAAAATGTATTATCTTCGTTATCAACATCTAGATTTGAATTCTGTTACCAACAATTCCCTTGGTAGGTATCTATAAAAATAAAAAAGGGGAAGAAACCTTAGTATGTCCTGACCCTGAAATAGGTAGCCTGTCCTACCCCTAAACTTTTCAAAACCCGAAAAACAAATGTGCATTCTTTTAGTGGTAAAAAGGATCCACATCATTCTTTACATTTGTTTGTTAGGTTTTGATGAAATGGTATGATAAATGTTAATCTTGCATATCCACATATTCATTCTCAACCATAAATTCCGTCACCGACTTCACCTCCATCATGGTTGAGAATTACGCACACGAACACAACCAAATGATTGTTAGCTGTTTATTGAGGTAGGCCTTATAATGAATTCCGATCAATATAATTGGAAAAAAAAAAATCCTTTGACCGATAGCTAGCAGGCATGTTACCAACTTTACATATTCATCGTGGTTGAGAATGACTAATGCAGATGACGAAAATGATTGTTAGTTGTTTATTGAGGTAGAGTACATAATGAATTCAACATTGATCAACAGTTGAAAGTCATTCGCGTGATTGTTGCAAACAAAACTCTTTTGACAGATAGATAGCATGCCCCACCCCACCCATCCCCTTTGGCCTTTGTGCGTCATTTGCGACATGTGCAATGCATGTTGGAGAAGTTATCAACATCACATTTGCCATTTTCGTCTGCTCCCACTTAGCCTTGGTCCCCAAATGTACATAATAACTTTGGGGGAAGATAATTCAAAGGCAACATTTGTGTAAAGGTTAAGCCATTGGGGTTGGACCGACCTTGTGGTACACCTAGTCTTTTCAGCCGTACATAATAATTGTAGAGAAAGTAAAAATAAGCATGTATGGCTGCTTTCAGTGGCCATAATACGTGCAGGATCTGAGTCATCATTATCCCTAATTATAACTACCGACAATGGATTTGAGTCATCTCTCATTGTCGACTATAAAGAAAGCTAAAGAAATTAAGTTTGGTTTTCATGATTATCTAAGCCCAATGGCATTGCCTACTTAATCTAAAGAGGCCGAAATTCATGTTGAACTTTTAACCTAATTTTGTTTTTGCACAAGTATATGCATATGCGCAAAGTGTTATGAATTTACAAAAAGTGTTCCGATGAAAAGAATAGAATGATCAAAATTAGAAGTAATCGATTTTCATTGTTAATTCTACTATGAGATGCTGAATTGTATTAGTATCGCAAGGGAGTTCAATGCTAAACTGATTGAGTGGCGTCATGACACGTCTAGATTACTCTTTGAAATAGAACGTATCCAAACATTTGTTTTGAGTGATCAATACTTGACATGGACTCTCTGATGCAATATATGTCTTCATAGTGATCAATACTTTTGTTTTGAGTCTTCGACATAAGTAAGAAAGTAGGTCAACTATTTGGATAAGCATGAGGCCGAAGCAATGTCCAAATCCAACATAATGCAGCTGGATGAAGCTGCTGGCCAGCTACATATGGATTAGCCAAAGCTAATATTTAAACTCCTGTTTATTCTAAATCAGCCCATTGAGTCATGGACCTTCTCATCATAAAATAACAACCAGCCCATTGAGTCAAAACCCTTAACAAAGTTTTGTCCCTAATTGTTGTCATTAACATACCTATTTCTAAGTAAGGACTTGTAACATTAATCCCTGCATCCGAGATCCGAAGTTCTATTTTCCTTTTCCCCAATATCGTTTGTACCTTCACTTTGTCTAAATTATTCATCATATTATTCATATCTTAAAACAATTGTCCCACTTGCCATTAGAATTTCTGGGAAAAAGAAACATAGCTTCATCTTCATGACATATATATCAGTGAACAGTACGAGAAAGATTGTAGTCACAAGATCGAAATGGTCAATGGTGGTTTTCTTTTTTGAAGTTAAATGTAGGATTAAAAAAGTTAATCAACATCTAGTTTTAAATTAATTAGTGATCAGAATTACATAAAAGTCTACGAATTTCGAGAGATAGCTGAGGTTCACACTTGTGCCGACTTAGTTGAAAATTGTTGGTCTAAACTAGGTGGGGGGTTTGTGCGAGTTTGACAGCTCTTCAGAATTTGTATTGGCTCAGGTCAGCATCAAATCAGACAAGGAATTGAATTCCAAGTTGAAGCATGTTTATGGTCTTCTTTAGTGATGGATACCATGCAAAGATGGTAGGTTTTAAAGACGAAATGTTTGAATGGCAGGTGGTTAATTACTGCTTAAACAAAGCATAAACACTGAGCTTTAAGCATGTTTTGCTCCTGTCTTTACTGGTTAATTACTTGGGTAGCACTAACTTTAGGAACTTTGTTTGGTTCAAAAAGAGCTTTTTGTTTTTGGTAAATTATAACTGAGAAGGTTACAGAATCCAAAATGAACAGTTTTGATTCTCTATCTGAAGTTTTCAATTCACACACATACCTACTTTTTACCCTTTAATTTATAATAAAGAATGAAAAGCATCCCTTTTTCTTGGGCTACTTTAATTATGCAGGTTTCCTTAGTTGTATTGCCTTTGAAATGCCATGCAATTTCAGTGCTTCACAGACATGAACCAGCTTAAAAATTGTTACCAAAAGCACAAGGGCAGCCCCACAGCCACATGTTCATGTCAGCTGGAAAGAAATTTGATCCTCCTCAGCCACTAGGGGCCATGCCTTTCCTAATAAACCAGAAAAGGCTTTACTGATTTTGTCATCATCTTCATCACTGCAGAAGCAGCCAAACTAGGTGATAAGTGCGGTTCCTGATATGTTCAACACAAAAAACAACACACTGTTTTCTTTAGGCACCCCAACCCATGAATTTCAATTCCTTGAATCAAAAAATTCATGCCCTCTGTGGCAGTCAGTTTTCTCTGCAAACCACAGGGCAGCACTGGGTTTTACCTTTTCATTATTATTATTTTTTTATACAGATTATTCTACTTTAATTTAATCTAAATTATAAAAAAGAGAATTCAAATTTAGATATAGAGTGAGGAGCACATCTTTCTAACCAACTTAACTATATCTACCCATTTTCACTAATCTTAATTAAGGTGTTAGGGTGCCTTCATTAAAGAATCTTTAGGGTTCTCACACTCAAAGTAGTGAATTTTTTTAGGTTACAAGAGAGACTCTAAATTAAAAGGAAGGGAGTTTTTTCACAAATACTATCATGGTGCCATAGGAATTCGAACATTAGACCACTAGTCTACAAGTCAAGGCCCCTTTTTACTAGGTTAGACCTAATGAGCCCCCCATTCACTAATCTTAATTAAGGTCCCTTTTG